GTGTTCTCTCCAACAGTTTACATGGAAGCTGTCAAGTGTTACGAGTTCCCTGTCAATCCTGTACTAGCCTGCAGAAACGCTCTGTCCACTAGAGTTACTCCCTTGGAAGGCCAGTTTGAAGATTTGAACATTACCAGCATACAATACAGAGGTGAAATTTGCAAGTAAGTGGTGCATGTACGCATTTGTGATTGAATAGTATGTGGTTACAATAGAGAATGTCTGGCACGTCTAAAGTAAAATATGTCTAAAATTGTAAGTTTGTTACTGTGGTGTGGCTCTACGTAGATTTTTTGTTGTTAATTGTTCGTTTTTTTTGTTTAATTACTAATGCTTCATTTAAAGTATAAAGAAATATATACCAGTATTTGTGATCCAATTTAGTACAATTTTAATTAGTTCGATCTAATTCTAAACTATAAAAATTTCAAGAGTTGCCAAATTTTGTTTTTAACAAAAATGAGATGACAGAAATTAAAAAAAAAGGATTTTGGAGATTTTATTTCAATTTTTATCAAGACTTGACTTTGTCCAAACGCTACTACAAATCGACCATTTCTTCAATGCAAACACCAATTAGATTTTGTTAAAATTTGAAATAAACCTATCCTGATGTACATATTAGATGTTAACTAACGTATTTTAACATATGGTAAGATGATTCGAAACAGACTGTAAAGGGTTTTACTTATTTAAGATTGACGTCGTTTTAAAATGCAATTATGTCTGTTTTTCCAGAGCCAGACTGGACCAAGTCCAGTGTGAGATGGACGCCGTGAAGCCAGGCAATGACACAGACAAGTGTAACGCAGTTGTTGTGGGACTACGGAAACAGCAGGAGTGTCAGCTGCTGCCCAAATTTTGTAGAACATCCAACTCTGCCCAAGTCAACAACTTGTGCCGGGAAACTGACTTTAAGATAGCAGAGAGGGTGGCATTCACACAGGCCTTGATTTCATCAGGTCACGTGCCCATGGGCACACTCTATGTTATCTTGACCTTGTTCGCCACAGCCATGATGTCTTTCGTTTAATTCAGTACCAGGAGATCATGATGTTGAACCTTGACTAAATCGATATCCCAGCAGTTCGATACAACTTATGAAGACTTCACGCCTCCCGTGACATGTTCAGGAGATTTCACGTTTCGGAGTCTGATTTCGTTTAGTGAATAACTCTGTCCCTGTTTTGTTTGTTTGTATATATTTATATAATCATATTTGTAAATATTTTTATACGTATTAAATATTGTTGACATTGTTGATTTATTAAAGCTGTGTAATCATAATATTATTTACCCACAGTTCCATTTTACAACAGATAGTTAATCTGGCGATCCAGATTTCAAATTAAAGATTTTAGAAAAATTTCTTAGGTCTAGCCTATGCGTTAGTAACTCGTTTGTTAGAGAAACAGGCAAGTTTGCCTTTCCTGCTACACAGTATATGGTACATCGTAAGGGAAGTGCCACTACAAGGTAATCAGGAAATGATCACTGATGCCTATAAACATTAAAGTATATCTAAGACGATCACACTGAAGATATACCGACTGTCAAGCCTTAGTTTCACACACCAGTCTGGTTCTGTCAATGCGTTAACCGCAGTGGTCGGTAAACTCTTGTTCCAAAACAGCCAAATATAACAAAATATAAAATAGAAGTTTATTAAAAGAGCCAAACTTAAGCTTTGAGAAAGTGACATTTCTCAACTCCTAGTGTTAACTAAAACATATCTCATTGTCAAAAAAAGGAATAATTTATTTTCACAAAGTTTCATTATCCCATAGATCTGAATTTTGCACATGCTGCGTGTCAATGAAAATTAAACAAAAACTCCAGAAAGAGTGAAGTTCTCAACAATAAATCGATTTCTTAACTTACTTCACATAATTTTGTAGCTTTATAAACAGCGAGCACGTTTCTTATGTAGATCATCAGTTAATAAAAATCAACATTATTTTTCTGCAATCGCTCTAAATCGGCAAAAGACGCTCGAATTTTCAACTTCACAATTTCATTTATTAAATCCAGTAAGTTTAAGGCTGCCAATATTAATATAAAAGGAGGAAAAATATATTTCTGTTATCATAGCAATCAGAAGTTTTCCAAGAAAATCTTTAAGAAGTTTCCCTTAAAATTGAACAATGTTGTTCTGAAATTGCTAATGCCGATATTACAATTATTTTAGTTTTGAAAATGAATTAATATTTTTATCTTAAAATCTTCATAAAAAAAGCGACACTTTTTACAAAGCTTATATTAAATCACTCTGTCACTATGTCTCTCTGGTAAAATCAAGCTGAAATTCCTCACAATTATTTCTTTTACCTGGCAACAAAAGAGTAAAAAAAAACCTAACAATTAGATTATTAATTATTGGTAATTAATTATTTTGTTTGGTACCAAGGAAAAAAAAACTACTTGATTGATGCTTCGATATAAGCTAAGCTAGTCCCCTTATAGGGCGCCGCTCTAAATTGTAATGAACACTATATAACTACACAATCTTCTCTAGTCTTTAGAACCTCACTTTCAGAGTGGCAAGCACGACTGGCCGAGGAGGCATGAGCAACGAGTTCGAATTCAGGTCATTTTCTCATATTTTGTTTTTGTAAATGCTTTTAAAAACCAATGACAGTTAAATGCACCCAGATATCCCTTTGTTCCCCCCCCCCCACCTCCACGTTCCCAACGTGACCACACAAGTGATAGGATCGTAGCGTAGTGAGAAAGCTAAAAGCGTAAAATAGCTCTAAACAAAACAAAAACAAAACTTCGCCATAGGAAGGTCCCAAGCCTGGCTAGAAAGAAGGGTTGGGCTTTGGGCTAGCTTTCCTTTCCCATTAAAAAAAACCACTAGCTACAAAAACACCAAACAGCAAATTAACAGAATTTATGAGCGCTTCCAACAAAACAATAGGTAAAAATATAATGAATCACACAGATTTATTGTTGTTGGTCTAGATCTATTACAAATTTAATGACATGACTGATCCAAACTCATTGGTACAATTACACTTCTTATAATCTTTTTTTTTTAAATATTTTTTAAGGGTTTTCATTGTTTTTTTAAATAAAATTATTTAGTTTATTTTTTAATTAATTAGTGTCATTAATTTTTCCCTTTCCTTGTCACTCACAATGAGCTGATTTAAATAAGAAATAACACCCACCATTTCTGGAAGCACAGATCATTCGGTAGCATAGATAAGTATGTACATTATGTTAGTTAAAGTGAAGCGATACGTTTTAAAACGTTTCCTCTGGTGTCATAGTCCCAAAGTTCCTCTCTAGAGCCTTTTGTTAAATCAACAACTTACGCTGCAATAGCACGCGCCTCCTCCGACATTGTCGTCTCGGCCGCTCGACAGCCCGAGTAAAGGTAAAACAATAAATACCGAGAACCAAATGTACTACCCTATGTATGTCAATATGCTTCTTGGTTGAATTAATGTCCGCTAAAGGGTATTTCCCCGCGTGGTTATTTGATGGAGATACACTAGAGCGACTTTTCGTAATATTCTTGCTTTCTAAATATGTGCCTCTTTTTCTTTTTGTAGGTCACAAGATGTTGACTCGTCTCTAACTAGGTAAATTAATTTTGTTATAAGTCTAAGGCAGGCATTTCAACCAGTTCTACATCAGTGGTTATCAAACTTTTTTGTCTCGTAGACCCCTTGCCATGTTTTGTGATTTCCCGTAGACCACCCTGCTTAAGTTATATTGAATTTTTGAAAATTCATTAATTTCAAATTACAAATTTTGTTTAAAATAATTTCTAACCAGTGACACGAGGAGTGAAAAAGGGATTTAAAACTACATTTGAAGTTGAATTAATTTGTAAAAATAAATTTATTAACAGAATTAAAATTTAGACCCATTCTAAACAGTTAATACGTATAGCATATCATCACTAAACACATTGGAAACTTTTTGTTTTTAAAAGTTTGAAAGCTCACCATCCGTTGCTACGGAGATTATTTTTCATTTAGTGATTTGTTGTTTTATAAAGTAGTTCTTCAAACATTAAATATCAATGTGCCTTAAGCATCATAGTAAAAGTTTTCACAAAGAGCAGTTTTTCGTGGATTTCTTGAGCCATAAAATAATTTCAAAAATACATCATTATCAGACAAGGTTGACTCAGCCAGCTGTATTAACAAATATGTTGTTTGCAGAAATATGTCGTTTGCAAAGGCTTACATAAGAAGAAAGAAAATTTGACTATATTCGAACAGAGCTCAAGAATTTAGTGAAGTCATCTAGAAATCCATTGCCCTAACAACCAATGAGTCACAGAGTTTGCATGAATGGTTCTCAGAAAGCCACCACAGACGGAGGAGATGAAATATTCATTAAATGGCCCAATGGAGAAAATTAAATAAAAAAAAATAAGTTCATTGTAACTAATGAGCTCTATGACAACCACAGAGCTAACAGCTACCATGCTAGGGAACCAGCCAAGTTCGCCAAATAGTTAAATTTATTTCGTCACCAATATAAAGTGTTCAGGCTTCCGCGCGGTGGTGATGCTTGTAGATATATCTAGTGTAGATCTACGTCTGGCTGGAGGTAATACCGAACTCAAAACTACTTCAGTAACACCGGCGAAAAGCCGAAACAATCAAAATAGGTAGTCGACGCTTGTGCTGTTTACAAATACATTTAATAACTAAGAAGGGAATCGTCCGATGTCAGCTATGTCCGTACATTCGTATCTCTATTCTACTGCTCTACACAAAGCATCCTCTTTCTAGCGTCACTAAGAGCGTTCTTGTTTTTTAAAGATCTGTCACGTCATTTGTCGCTAAGTAAAACTTTCCCCTTATTCCCGAAACAAATAACTAATTCCTAATCATGTCATAACAAAAGACAGTTCTTCAAAGCTTGACAAACTCTGATGCCTCCTAAATAAAACAACTCATGATTCATGGACTAACGTTCGGTGGTTACCTTGCCTGCTCACTCGGGAGGTTTGGGCTAGGATGTCATTATGATACTTGTTTCTATTTCATCAAGCTATTGAAAGAATTTTTCAAAAAGAAAAAGGCACATCAGCCGAATGTTTTCATGTATTATAGTGTGACCTAAATGATGCCATTGAAGCGGAGAGTCTGTTGCTGAAATGTTTCTTCTTCTTGTACTTATGACATTATAGTTGTATATAAAGAATAATGAAATGGTCTAAATAGAAATATATTCTGTACAAGTTGTATTCAAAAATTAAAACATAGTTTCTTTATAAGGATTTATGATCTGATCTCCTCCTTCCCCCCTCCCCACCATCCTGTCATATTAAATATATTCATGTTTACCGAATTTAACTGTGTAATTTATGTCTACATAACGAGATTGCTGTGGTTTCTATCAAGACTGCTTATTAAAAAAGTGATCAAAGTATATTCTGCTTGTTTATTTTTAGCAAATAGGTTCTGTGGCATTTTAATTATGTCCATTAAGGAACGATCTATTCTTTTTGCAACAAAGAAGGCCTATCCTTGATATGGAGTGACCTTTCCATTGCTGTTGGGAAGGCATAGGTGGTAGTGTTCTCTATAGACTTAGCATTAATATAAAATACATTTTGTGGAAGAAGTAGTCTTGTATGTAGGTGTAAATTATTTAAAACATAAAAGAAATAACTTGTATAAATGTATGTACGAATTAAATACTTGTGTACATTAAAAAAAAAAAATAAAAAAAAAAAAAGATCTAGTTTGATTTTCATATACTTGTACAATGCTCAGGTAGTTTTCCAGACATGGGGTGATGGGGTCAGGGATATTTGATATTGTGTTGATTGTTCTGGGGTAGAGGATACTTGTATCATTGTTCTGTCTTTTATGGATTCAATGGCTAGGATGGTTAGGTAGTATGTCTTTGATATTAAATAATGTTTCTGTTACTATTGTTGTATTTTTAGGTTAATCAATTTTCAATTGTTTATGATTTAATACTTGTGAATTATGAGAACTTACAAATAAAAACATATTGGAAAAAAAAAAGCCCACAAAAGAGGCACATTAAGCCCAAAAAAGAGGCAAAGAAAAGAAAAGAGGCCTAAGGCCCAAGGATTCCTATGATGATAAAGCTAAAATTAAATAGCGCAAATTCTGAGGTTTCCTTTTTAAAAAAAAAAAAAAAAAAAAGTATCACAATATCGTTTTGTTAATTTAGATTTCAAATTTATATGATTGAGAGGTTAATTGACATTTAAGAAATATATGTATATCTAATTATTACTTTTAAAGAATGTACACTTCTATATTGTTTGGTATGCATTGCGATATGCATGATGTACTTTTAAACAGTGGATCTAATACAACCTTGCGTTTGTATTTATTAATTCCTCACGCAATTAAAAAAAAAAATGAAATCCTAGCTTACATCAAAATAAACTCCATTTTAGTCAAAGTTTGTACAATCTATTATAATAAATGTAGCATTAAATTATAGTAATTTATTCAGAAGTTCTTAACAGGTTTTTTCAACTATCTCTCAACTCTAATAGAACTTGCAATTTGGTCGGCACAAGTATCTCCTATTTTATCAACGGTCACTTTTCGTTTAAATCCCTTCTATACACATCGCACATCCTAATACAAAAAATTACACTATTATAGAATTCTGTTCTAAGGATAACTTACTTTCTCCCATTCGATGAATTGAACGACAAGCAGTCTACATAGAAATTGGTCACTAGTTATGTTTGCAGCCTCTTCCCAACTTGTGACCTCTAAGATCCTCCATGGCGGTGCTACCAAAACGTCAAAAGTTGATGTGATTTTTAGGGTAATTTAGGGCGCGTGATTCGTTCTGTCTCGAGAGCATGTCCCATGTTAATCAATACATAACGTAAAATATATTTAATTATAAATTACATATTTTATATAGCGCTACATTCATGCTTATAGCACGCTCAGAGCGCTGTGGTACAATCTCATTTGTGGACCAGTGGGGGTTATCTGGGAGAAGCCTTAAGGCGCTCAGTAAACACAACTCTGCTCGAGCCGAGTGTCTCGAACTAGCCAAACCAAGCCAAGTTCAAGCGTACTTGGCCTCTCGACCACGCTTTTCCACGATTCAAGCTTTTTTCCAAGCAGGTTATAAGGACATAAGTTAATGCCACTTGGTATAGCCGGTGTAATGGTGAACTACAAGTCAATTGAAATAGAACGCATAACACGATTCCAATTAAGAATGTTAATTGATAGTACAGCTCAACTTGAGTTCTAGATTTCTCTGTTCCACTGTCCCCCTTTGCCTTAAATATAATCTCTTTCAATAATACGTCAGCCCATTATTTAATGTTGTTTATTTCCTTTTTGTCCAGTATTGTTCCCTAAAGGAAAGACTTTGCGAGCCCTCATGACTTTGTGTTATGTCGAAAAAAGTTTTGGTTTGCTTTTTTTGACAGAGGCCACTAGGTTATCGAGGAAATCAATCGCCATTGAGGTCCTCATTTGTGATGTGGTCTTTGTAGGTGATACCTAGTATCTTACTATAGCATCTTTTTTCCCATGCAAGAATCATCTCTCTAGTTCTGCAGTTAGCGTTTAAGGTTCTCAAGCACACAAATATATGGCCATGATCCATAAGCCATCTGTTTAATTAGAGTGCCGCAAATTTTGTCGTTGTCTTACCAGTTCTTACAAAGCTTAAATCAACTCAAGTTTGTTTGTCTGTGTGGTAAAAAGTGTGTACTCATTATTTCTCCCAAACACATTCTCGGATAATGTTACACTATTATTTATTGGCATAAACAAGACATGAATAAATAAAAGAAGTTACCAATTAGTCAATTAATTGATGGCTATTAATTATTTTGTTTGATACCAACTAGAGAAACTAATTATTCAGTATTCACAGATATGACTAAATTTGTTGGGTTTAGTTCCCTTAAATATTGGTAACACTATTTCTTCCTGGCACATTCTCCGATCAAGTTAATACTTTAACCAAACAATTATGAATTGTACCTAACAAAAAAGGAATCAATAAAAACATAACCATTTGTCAATTAATTATTAGCAATTAATTATTTTGTTTGATATCAAATAACGTGTACATTATTGATAAAGTTTTAAGGTCGGAGTTATTCCCCTTTAGATAAGATTTGCATTTTGAAAAAATATTTGTTTTTTTTTGCTTGTTTTGAGTCTGGCAAGTTGTGCTGTGGACTGTGCAATTCTGGCCAGTAATTCGTTGTTGTTGTTTTTTTCCCTTTCATTTGAAACGATAACTCCCAGGTAATCAAAGCATGTGACACTAGCCAGCTTTTCAATTCAAATCCTAATGTTTGAAACCCTGTTGACCTTTGGTTGTAGTTACGGAATTTCTTTACGTTTTGTACACGATTCCTTCCAACTCCTTCCATTCTCGGGTCAAGTTGAAATTTAGCAAGTCTATGACGATACTTTTGTAGGTTTCCCACTTAGATAGGCCTTTTTTTTTTTTAAAGATTTTTATTTTTATTTTATTGATTGTTTATCTTTTCTTTTAAAAACTTAAAAAAAAAAAGACACAGCTGATTTCAAAATCATACCCCCCCCCCCAAACCCTGTTTAAAAGCGGTATTAATTATAATGTTTTTGCTTTACACTATGAATATAAAAAAAACATTATTGTACTCCATAGTTTCATTGCCAGCTTTACTTATGACTTAATATTGTTCTTTTGTTACTTAGTATTTCTTAATACTTTATTTAGAAGTTGTCGCAAAAAAATAGTAAACACTCCTGTAAGTCTCATGATTCCCCCCTTCCCCGCGTCCATCATTAAAACGACAACAAAAACCCACACTTTGCCCTAAGCCCAAAGTCAGACATGAATCAATCAATTTATTCCTTTAAATATTTGAACGACAAGTCCGTTAGTTTGTTCGCTAGTTTCAAGTAATTTTCATAATTCGACCCACATCAAAGCTGTGGGAATTTTTTTTTTATCCTGTCCTTTCCAAACAGATAGTTTTTTATTTTTATTTTGTGACAGTTGACAGTTCAAATCTCACGAAATAAGGAGAGGTACTTGTTTAAATTCTGTTACTAGTACCCTGGGGGGTCTTAGTTCAATGTCGTCTCTAACCTGACAAGCCCGTTACTGTAGCTCATTAGCTTGACAGGTTACATCTTTAGATGAAAGGGTGTGTAGTGGAGATTTCAAACAACAACAAACTGTACCCCTACATAATAAAATTAGTATCATACCGTGTTCAATGTATTTCATATAGGCTGTTCTAAATTATGAGTTTATCTGTCGTTACATAATAGATCACAGGTTATAGATTATTTCATTATATGTTGCTATTTTCAACTATGAATATTACGTCTATTAGTGTTATCCTACTCATTAGTATCATTGAAATGTAATCAATATTCCGCTACAAACAATATGACTTTGATTAAAATTTTACAATGCATGGTGTTGTTTCTTTGGAAAGAGCATCTAGTTAACTCTTTCTCTCCTACATGACGATGCCAACGTTGATTTTACTTAACTAAACTAAATTAATTTTTGGATTTATAAACTTTAATATGTGTTTTGAAAAAGAGCATGCATTCTCCTGTAATTGGATACGAAATAAAACATTTTCTGATAACAAACAAAAAAGTTATTGAAGCTGAATTAGAACAGCATAGTGAAATTAAAATGAGCAAAAGGAATAATACTATCGGCAGAGAAAGAGTTAAAGAAATATATTTTAAACTTAACCAAATTGGTTTCAATATTTGTATTCCAAAAGACACTTTCGCCAAGTTATGCTTGCGACCGAAAAAAATAGTTATACTTCCCCACCCTTCAGTCATCTATTGGATCATGAATCAACGGGACTGCTGAGGCTTGAGCCATAAATTCCAATTTAGGTTGTGCCCCATTTTTTATATATATAAATGCTTTTTATTTATTTTCAATAAAAAAACCCACTAAACTATAGGTGACAGAATGTTACGTTTTTCTTTATCAGCTAGTATTCAAGTTATCGTGAGACTCAGTAACTTATCTTCCAATCGCCTAAAACGCATTTTATCTTCTCCAAATAGGAAGAGCGCGATGCATGCAATTCAATTCAGAAAGGTTGGTATGTTGAAGGTTGAGATACTTTTGAGGTTTTCGAGAAAAGTAAAGGTAAGTAAAGTTCCCCTTTCAGACCTTTCGATCTATTGGGCAAATGATGTAAAGGTCATCTGTTTTTGTTGCCAACGGTTAACGAGCAGGGTGTCATGTGGCTATCACAACGACCAACCGCCTTGACTTTTCCCAACTAAAGTCAGGTACCCATTAGAGTTGGGTGGACTCGGGGGCGCCCTTAAAATCTCGAAATTCAAAATCCCAGACTTCACCGAGATTTTTC